AAGAAAGCACAGATATTGGATCCATGAACTTTAGAGTAGTGCTCTATTACACCTTTGGGAGTAGTGTGTGTGTGTTTTTTTAAATTCCATGAAACTCTTTGAGCATATACTATGGACCAGATATACTTGTAAGTGTTAAGAATGTGTCACTGAACAAAATTAACAAAATTTTTGCTCTTATAGAATTTCTATTCTGGGGTACAGCGTACACAAAACAAATACGTAAATATAAATCTGTGAATTGGTTAAAAAGTCTGAAGACAAAATTTAAAAGAGTAAAAGTGTAAAATGACAGGAGAGTTGTAATTTTAGAACTTTGTGAGACCAGTTATTGCTAGTAAGCTACCCAAATATAGTGCGTTAAAACACACACCCACACACACACACACACACACACACACACGTTATCACACAGTTTCCATGGGTCAGAAGTTTGGGCATGGCTTAACTGATGTTTTCATCAGGATTTCACAAGCTTTAATCATGCTTCCAGCCAGACTATGTTCCTTATCTGAAGCTCATGATTGCTTTCTAAGCTTGGGAGGTTGTTGGCAACATTTTGTTTTTTTGTGATTGTCGGACTGAGGTACCCGTTTTCTTCCTGTCTGTCCACTAAATTCTGCTCTGAGCTCCTAGAGGACCCCCAGAGTTCCCCTCCACGTGGTCCTCTCACAATACAGTAGCTTGCTTTTCTGGGTCAGCAGGGCAACTGCACTCTGACTCTGTCTCTGACTTCTAGGCCCTCTTTTAAAGGCTTCACCTGCTTTAGTCAGGACCACCAGGATGATCTCCGTTTCATTAAGTCAGTTGGTTAGGGGTCTTAATTACATCTCCAGAATCCCTTCATCTTTGCCAGATGATGTAACTTAATCACCAGAGAGATTCTGTTTAGCTGCAAGCTGATCTATTCCATTTTTTGAGCCATGTTCTGTTATTGTGTAGCAGCAAGTCACAGGTTCTTCCATATATAAGGAGAAGTTAATATTTTAAGAGTAAGGATCATTAGGTGGTTATGTTAACATTCTGTGCATGACAAAGCTATTAAGACATACCTATGAGAGGACAGTGTGGAGCAGGGTAATGACAGTGAGACTGATAAAGAGTGGTTGAGCAGATGATATTTGTGGTCAGCTGGAGGTCTGGTGTAAGAAGGGGAGAGGAGTCAAAGGGTGGCACTTTTTAAAAAATTATCTTTGACTTTGAATAGGAATAGTTCTGTAAGAGCTGGGGTTGGGTAGCACTAGAGAATATCAAAATAATAGTTGATTGTATGTTGTATATAAAATGCCTATTAAAATTCCAAGAAAAAAAATGACAAGAAACCAGTTGCATATTTGAGTCTCTAGAGAAGCAGTCTAGGCAGGAACTAAAAGTTCAGTAGTCATCAACATGTACATGGTATTTAAAGCGATGAGACTAGAAGATAAACTCTAGGGAGAGGATAGAGATTAGAACCTAAGTTATGTTGGAGCTGTCTAACATTTCTAAGTTGGTAAAATGAGTAAAAACAACCAGAAAGTAATTGAAATAAATCTGTGCAGATTAGGTGGGAAGCTTAAGAAGCACTAGAAATGCTCCATTTCTGTCTATCACTGTGCCAAAGGGTACTCAGTAACTGATAGATGATGGTGATGACAAAGATATTTTGGGCAAAGCTATTTAATAGCTTTTTATTCTGAGAATGGATGTGACTTCTTAAAATAATGCTTATGTTACCTATATTGAAAATGTATTTATCTTTTTTATTAATTGTGAATAGAGAAGTTAGAAATAGAACTATGTCTTAATAAGATGAATCATCTAGATATAAAATGAAAGATCCCATCGTTTATCCTAGAATTTAAAGATGTCAGATACTTTAAATGCATTTAAGGGAATCAGGCAGTCTGAGGAAATTACCCAGATGTTTAAATCCAGCAAATGTGGAGATGAATCCAAAATGTTTCTAATTGTGGGGTGGTGCATGCTCCTTTGCATGTTTGAAACTCAAGCCCCTCATGAGTCTCAGTTTTTAGTTATTTTAGGATTTTATGAAATAAAGAAGCTAAAATATCAGTTCATGGATATTGGGTTTCTTTTAGAATAATGTTAACATTTTATTAAAGAGGAAGATTAGAAAAGATAAAAATATATATAAATGATGGTATATGATGTTCAATTACATTATTCCATATTTGCATAATAATTTTATAGCTCTAATTACTGTAGAACTTCCCATGGGCATGGTGACATGTTTATATAAAATGAAAGATGGGTTGTGTTTAAGTGGGCAAAAATTGTAGGGGAGTTTGTGTGTGAGAGAGAGTGGAAAGGACACATATTTTGCTAAGATTATACATACTAGCCATTTCTCTTAACATAAATTTTACTATAAAGCTTATAGTATTTTAATACCTAAAAAATGAAGGCAAACATCATGATGATATAATTTTAATATCAGTAACTGATATATAAGAAAGAAAATCACTATCACTTTTGACTATTGACTATAAGAAAAAAAATAGTCAAATATGCTAAATCTGGTTCACAACACTAATTTTAAATTAATAATACTAAATAATCACATCTAAAAGATAAATTTGCAATGTTTACTGTTAACTCCCCTAACTTTAATATGGGACATTTTAAATGGATTATTGTGAGGATCTTTAATAGTCTAGATAGATGATCAGTAATTACTAATAGATCATTTTCACCTCACTAGAGGAACCATCAAGTTCTGGCATCTTTTGGATCTACTTGGATAAAGGATTTTAGATGCTGAACTTTTTTTGATTGAGAAACATACCAAGAGCTCTCTTAAGGAGAACTCAGTGGTTAAAATCTGATACATGGCACTTCCTATGTACAAGGTGCTGTTCTAAATCCTTTAGTTTTATAAGCTTGTTTAATTCTCACAATGGCATTATGAGGATTCTTTTTATCCTCATTTTAGAGCTAAGGAAAATGATGGTAGAGAAGTTATATAACTTGTCCAAGATCACACCGCTAACAAGGGAAGATCACTATGCAATCTCAAGCTTCAGGCTAGAAATGAGGCCAGGAACGCAGTCTCTTACAAGAGTGAACCATGGACTTTGGGTGATTATGATCTGTAAATGTAGGTTCATCAATCATAACAATTGTACCACTCTGGTTGGGGATGTTGATATTAGGGATAGCTTTGCTTGTGTGGATTCAGGCGGTTTATGGGAAATCTCTGTACTTTCCCCCCAATTTTGCTGCAAACCTAAAACTGCTCAAAAACAATGCAGTCTTAGGGATAAGGGTTAGCTACCTAGCTTAATTAGGCAGACATGAAGTGGGGGAAGGGGGTGTCCAGGAAGAATGGGGGCATTTCTGGCCTGAGCAATTAAAGCAGCTCTGACCTGAGCAGCTGGGAGAGCCATAAGAGGTAATAAAACACCTCCAGCCAGGCAACTGAGAGAGAGGTTCCATGGGAGAGGAATGCATAGATGGGGGCTTGGAGACACCAAAATTCCTAACTTACTTGTGCAAATGATAGAGAAATGCCACAGATAAGCGGGGAGAAAGACATACATTCACAGAGGATAAAGAAAATTCACAGGATATTGGGAAGAAGGAAACATATTTCACAGAGGATAGAGGAATGTTGCAAGATAAGGAGAGAGAAATAGGGGGGCACCACTTGGGCTTTGAGCTTTGAACCAAATACTGTGTAGCAGAATGATCAATGAGGGAAGTATGGGGGTCCCAAATTAAGGAAAGGGACCAATTAGAAAAGGTCATGTTAAGACAAAGAGCTACAGCCTTTATAAACCAGAGACAAAGAGACTCAGTAGATTCAGATTATTTAAAACCCATCTTATTAAGAAATTTTACCTAAAATATTCATAGATTCTTAGATCAATAATAACAAAACAATCCGGTAATTTTTAGATGATTTTTATGTCATATATATAAAATATAATTTTAAAATGTATGGAATATTTAGATGCTTTTTATTTAAAGTGGAAATGAGTAATTGATAGGAGCATGGTGGAGTTGTTCATTGAAGGCTTTTCAGAGGAGGGAAGCTTAAGCCAAGCTTTAAAGATGGCATGTAAAATAAATAAGGGCAGAACACTGGAAAGACATTCTGGAAAAATGAATAAAAATTGCAAAGATTGCAACCAGAAAAGAGCATAAAATCATTAGGAAACTACAGGTGTTGAGTTTCCTATTGCTAAATAAACCTGGTAGAGTCATTCAGTCGCTATTACATCCAGCAATTACAGGTTAAATCTGATGAAAGAGAAATAGACCTGTTATAAAATTGTATTTAATCTCCCTTCCCTTTGAGTTACATATTCCTGAATCAAATAAACCAAAAATATTGAGCATATTTGCTATTACAGCTGGTTTATACCACACTTAGTGTTTCAATTACAATAAATAATAAATTGTTTAATGGTGTAAAATAAAACATGACAAATATTTGGGAAAGAAATACCTCTATATTAATTCTATTCAAACATAGATAATCAAAGTATTGGATACCAGTATTTTTACACAGCTTTAAGAAGACTTTCTTGACACAAGGCTGAAAATTTAGATGATAGAGATAGATGATAAATAGATAAATAGGTAGATAGATACAAAATTTTGTCAAAATTTAAAAACTCCTGCAAATGAAACATGTAACAATAATTATAAAATAATTGTAGAAATGCAGTTTTTATTCATGGGAGTAATGCTACTATATTCACTGGCTTTCAGAATAAGTATATTAACTTAGGAGTTTTTTTGGGTTGACCATATTTTAGTATCTCAGGGTTTTTAAATGGGAGTATATACTTTTAGATCACTAGATATGCGTCAAGCACACTGCTTTATAATTTGCATTTCTATATCTATTATAATCTAAGAAAGTAGAGAGGAGGAGAAAAGAAACAGAGGAAACCTAAATATACTTAATATGTTAGATCTTTCAAAAGCAGTTAAAAAATGAACACTTTTAGTCCAAAGCTTGTAGTATGCTTGGCTTTAATGGATATCACTATAAGGTATCTATATATATATATAAACTTAAGCAACTATCTGACTATTCTTCTGTCCGACCATCCGACCGCTAGTTCTGATGGGCAATGACCGCCAGGGGGCAGACGCTCAATGCAGATGCTGCTGAGCTGTGGTGACTTGGCAACTGTGGTTCTTGGGTCACACACCTAGAACCAGAGAGGAAAAAGCCCGATTCCGGGGTACGTCATCTGAGAACTGCCCTCTCGCAACCTGGGACCTCTCAGGGGATATTGGCGAGCCAGTTTCAGCCCAATCCCCACAGGCCAGGCCGAGGGACCCCACCAGTGCACGAATCTGTGCACTGGGCCTCTAGTATTTTTCATAAAATGGCAGAAATTTACACTTAGAATGTACTTGTTGGTCTAGTTTAAATTTGAATACTCAGAGCTAGTAACGATGCATACAGTATTTATTAACACAGTAAATACATATTTAGTCCATGTAAAGGGCAATATTTGAAGTCATACAGATATCAACTATTTTGTTCAGGGCAATTTTATTTTCTACTCACAACTGAAATCTAGAGAATAGCCCATAGGGAGCAATGGCCTTTTAACCTCCCTTGCCACAGGGCTCCATTACTAAGCAAGCTGTTAAAAGCTCATATAGGTAGTCAGGATAAAGGTAAGTTTTCCATTCCCCCAGGAAATGATACTTCAGGCAATGAATATCAAGTTGTAGCTCCATATATCTAAATCAACATGAGAGTGTTTGAATCTGAAATAGCACGCTAAACTGGATCTGGAATATATAGGTATTATTATTACTAGAGGCCGGTGCATGAAATTCGTGCACTGGTGGGGGGGTCTCTCAGCCAGACCTGCACTCTCTCTCAGTCTAGGAACCTTCAGGGGATGTCCAATTGCCAGCTTAGGCCTGCTCCCTGCCGGCAGTTGGACATCCTAGTGCTGCTGCAGAGGTGGGAGAGGCTCCCACACTGTGCTCACCAACCATGAGCTCCCACAGCACTGACCACCAGTGGCCAGCTCCTACATAGAGCATCTGCCCCCTGGTGGTCAGTGCACATCATAATGATGGGTCGTTCCACCATTTGGTCGATTTGCATATTAGCCTTTTATTATATAGGACTAGAGGCCTGGTGCACAAAAATTTGTGCACTCAGGAGGGTCCCTCAGCCCAGCCTGTGCCCTCTCGCAGTCTGGGACCCCTCAGGGGATGTCCACCTGCCAGCTTAGGCCTGCTCCCCGGGGTTCAGGCCTAAGCTGGCAGTCAGACATCTCTCTGGCAGCCTGGGAGCCCTCAGGGGATGTCCAACTGAGGGGCTTAAGTCCACTCCCTGCAGGGAGCATGCCTAAGATTCAGTCAGACATCCTTAGCACTGCTGAGGACGCGGGAGAGGTTCCTGCCACCACCGCTGTTCTCGCAGCCGTCAGCCTGGCTTGTGGCTGAGCAGAGCTCCCCCTGTGGGGA